TGTTGTACGTGTGTGTGTGTGTGTGTGTGTGTGTGTGTGTGTGTGTGTGTGTGTGTGTGTGTGTGTGTGTGTGTGTGTGTGTGTGTGTGTGTGTGTGCGTGCGTGCGTGCGTGCGTGTGTGTGTGTGTGTGTGTGTGTGTGTAGTGCAACCGCGTTGAACTCTTTTTAATGGGCCTATCGGGTGCTCCAGGGAACGGTGGAGGGTCCTTAATTGTGATGCATTGCATTCAGGAGCCTCCATTATTCCATTCATAATTTACAAGCTATAACTTCAGCGCTTTTAATGAAACACGGAAACACAGCACAACATCTGTGATCATATACAGTACTACAAACAACTAAAAAGCACTTAGAGAATACATGCTGTAACATGCCAGGACCACACAATCATTCAAAGGTGTCATTTTAATCTTTGATTAAACAATCATAAGCTCATAAAAGGATTTTATGCCAAACTCTCGGGATGTGGCTTGGTCCAATCGTTCGGGTCCAGACTGAAATATCACATTATGACGGATGTCCATGACATTTGGGGTAGGCATTCGTGGTTCCCAGAGGATGAATCCTGACTTTGGTGAGCCCCTGACTTTTCTTTCGCTTTCACAAGATTGACATATTTGGATTTTCAGCACAATGTCTCAACAAATATGTGTTATGAAATGTGGTACATGTATGCCCTTACCATGAATTATTAGGTATTTGGTGAACCTCTGAATCTTCATTTATAACTCATGGTCTACTTGGCCTATTAGCACAACATTTACATTTACCCAAGATGCATGGTTCCTGTATCTTACCATTTAAACTAATTGTTCATGGTGATACTTGACATATAAACACATCTACATTGAATAAAAGATGCAAAAACCCACACAGGTACACAACTTCAACGGCAAGTATACTAATTATATTTCATATCTTCGGAGACCATTAGATAATAAGCTGACTTAAAGATGATAACTATCTCAAAAGGTTTAACCTCGTAGGTCTGGTGTATCATACCAATTATATCACTTGGACCTCCACCACCTCTTTCTCTGTTTTTATCTACACTGCCATGACCCCACACACACACACCTACACACACACACACACGCACACACACACACACACACACACACACACACACACATGTGTGTGTGTGTGTGTGTGTGTGTGTGCGTGTGTGTGTGTGTGTAGGTGTGTGTGTGTGGGGTCATGGCAGTGTAGATAAAAACAGAGAAANTGTCTGTTGGACGTACCAACCGACACAGTCCCCTCTCGATTCCCTATTCATAGTCCCTTTCAAGTCCCTCTCAAAGCATCCCTTCTCGAGTTCTCCTCTTGGTTCGCCTCATCAATTCACTTCTCAGGTCCCTTCTGAGATCTCTTCTCGATTCCCCTCTCAAGTTCACTCATCAAGATTTATCCCTCTTCGATTCCCTCCGATCCCCCTTGAGTCCCCTCTTGGTCTCCTCTCGAAGTCCCTTCAAAGTTCCTTCTCAGGCAAACAGAACCTCTCTTCGGAGTCCTCGAGTCTCTCTTCCGAGTCTCTTGGTGAGTTCTCTTCTCGAAGTCCTCTCTCTTGAGTCCCTGGGGTCTCATCGAAGGTCCTCTCTCAAGTCCCTCTTGTGTCCTTACTCTCGAGTCCCCTCTCAGTTACACCTGTCTCGAGGTCCACTTTCTACATAGTCGCCTTCTCTAAGTCCGTATCAAAGCCGAAACTACATCATCACTTGTCCTGATGCCGTAGGGAGGTCCCGTCTCAACTACTGTTTGCTGTCGGGGTCCTGCGCAAACTCTATGTCCTGTCCTGTTGGGGGCCGTCCCGCTGACTACTGTTCTTTCGCGAAGTCACCTGGCCAACCCAATTATCCTGTTCCGTGGGCGTCCCGCCATTCACCTGTCTTGCGGGGGGTCTTGCCAAACTCCTTGTCCTGTTCGTTTGGGGTCCGGCCTGAGGGTCCTGCACTGCCATGTTCCTGGTGGTGGTTTGGGGGGTTCCGTGAGGATCCTGCCAACTCCATGTCCAGTGTCCTTGGTGGTCCGCTGAGCGGTCCTGCCACCCGATGTCCTGTCTTTTTGTTGGGGGTTCCACCGGGTTCCTGCCAACTCCATATTCCGTATCCTGTTTGAGGGTTCCGCCACACCTGCTCCGCGATTCCTGGCCAACACAGACCTGTCTCTGTTGGGGTCCCGCCGACACGTGCTACGGCCGAGGCGTGCCTGCCAGACACCAGCCCTTGCCATCTGCTCGGCGCATCAGTCCATCTTGAAGACACCGCCCCAATGTTCTCGTGCAGGGGTCCCGTCTAGCCTGGTTCCCGGCCAGGGTGTCCCCCAGTCCTTGCCTCCTCCGATCCCAGTGAAAACCGCCGCGATCCAAGCTGAACACTGGGAGGAGGGTCCCATTGCAGCGTACGTCGTCCTCCGGAGCTATCCCGTAACCGCCTTCGTGCCCGTCCCCCGGAGCTGTCCTGTCGCCGCCTTCCTGCCCGCCCTCCGGGGCTGTCCCGTCGCCGCCTTCTTGCCCGACCTTGTGCCCGGCCTCCTGAGTTCCCCAGCGGTATTCGCCCTCATGCCCGGCCCCCTGAGTTTGCCTGCTGTGGCCTTCGCCCCTTTTTGAACTCTGCCTTGCCCCGGGCCGTCCGCCCGAGAACACCATCTCAAACTCTGCCTTGCCCCCGGGCCGCCCGCCCGAGACCCCTTCCGGGTCCTCTGCTGTGCCCCTGGGCTGTCAGCCCAAACCCGTCCTCCAGACCCTCTCCACCCACCCTTTTGGCCCTAGTTTTGCTGATCGGCTTTTGAAATAAAGCTTGCTTTTGTTTATAGACCTTTACCTTTTTTGTAGTCATTTGGGTCCTACGTTTTCCGTGATTCTTAACAGAGATCCTAACACTAGGTGTCCCAAAGACCAGAAACAGACATTGCTCAGGGGAAACACCAGAAAGAAATTGAGTAGCAGATGTCTCCAAGTAACCGGAGTTAGCCATCGTTAGCTAACAGCGGTTTAGCTAACAGCGGATTTTCGTTAGCTAACTCCGGTTAACTTCTTCCTTTAATAATCCACAGGCCTTCTTTCCCCTTTCTATCAAAAAAGCCGATGTTTTCCAAAGCAGTTTGTCAGCTTTTGTACTGTTTTTTAAACCGGGAGAGTTTCATGTCCATCCAAGCCGTCGAACTGTCAGTCACGCAGTAATTAACCTCCATATTTGCAGAATAATATAGACACAGTGTCAGAGCCATGGCAGATTTGTACAAAGCTGCCAGACAAACAATGTGTGAGCAGGTGAGGTGAGTCCACACGTTTTTATTAACCTGGAGCAAAAAAAAAACACAGTAAAGCCTTTTATCGCATATTTTTTCTGCACACTGTCCGATTCAAGAATTCACTCCGGCACCAAAGTAAAGAGGAGACATTAAAGTGTAATTGAGAGCAAAGAGTCAACACTTTCCGTTTCAATTGGCCTCCCTCTGTCGTTTGCCACCTCTGCAAAGATCGCGCTGAGTCGACAAAGGTTGATTTATCCACACATGGCGGCCCACAAACTCCACAATCTCAGCTCGATTTGAATAACTAAATGAGCCTGGAGAAGGCGTGATGGAGCGCTAACATGCTGAATCTGTAAGGCTTTACAGGAAGAAATACACGCCCTGCTCAAGAATGGATTTAAACTCTCACTAACATCTTTTATGAGGCACAAGATGCAATCAATCAAATCAAACTTTGACTTAACATACACACATTCAATACATCTGCTTAATGTAGTAGTACTATGGGCGTGGGTTACGTTCCAATTAATCTTCACCGTATGATGTGTTAATGTTTAACTCTCCACTACAGCCTTTAATCCTCCAACGAATCCGCACTTTGGACCGAGACACTCCCTGAGTTACATGAGAGCTAACAGCACTCAGCAGACTTCATCACTACAGAGAGACGGACTGAAAACCAGACGATCAGAGTCACCTTCAGAACAAACTAACAACTTCCTTCTGAGTTCAGCTACAGGAGAGAAAAGTGGAAACTACAACACTGCTGCTTCAACCTGAGGACCCGCCACACCCTGAAGGTGAGTCTGACTCCAACATCACTCAGAGTAGATATCAGTCAGTAGAGGAGGGGGGGTGGGTCATTGTTATATTATTATACTTGATTATTGAACAAGGACCATGCATACAAATACGAGAAGAGATGCTAAATACTAATTTCTATCCGCAGTCCCTGGGCAGGAACACATAACAATCAACCAGCAATAAAGACATAAAGTGTGATAGGCACACTTTATGGTGAGTGTGCCTATCACACTCATTAAACCAGATCAATGCAGAGTGGTATAAAACATACTAGTAGACTTGTCAAAATACATATAATTGTACGAATCATTTAAACTAACATCTCAAATTACAGAAAACATCATGTTGGTAAGACTGGTGAAAATCTGAGCAGGTTTTAAGATGGAAGCAGGAATGGATCGAATATTTGATTGCTTAAACAAGAGAAGGTAGATTGTGCAGAGGTTACATCTGCGTTCAGGGCGGGTCGAGGTTCTGCCCATTTGTTCAGAGCGGAGCTGGAAGAAGCCTCTCAACGGTGCTGGAGAAGCATTGTATCTGATGTTGAATACCAATTAGAGTTATTGGAAAACAGAAGGAGATTGTATCTGGATAACATATTGCATTGATGGTGTTTAAACGATTTCTTATCAAAAGTGGGTTGTTTGAGAAGATCCTCAACTGGTTTTAGCTCAGTCTTAATGGCCTGAGACCAGCAGGGGATACAATACTGAGGATGTGGGGAAATCATGCTTCTATAGTTAATGAGTTCCTGATATGTTTACTTATAAAGATGTTGTATTTCATGTTTTTTAAAAGCCAAATTGGTATCCAAGATCACTCCTATAGATATTTTACGTCATTAACGTTTTTGATGGTTTGTCCATGAACACTAAGCTCTGGATACACGGATAAAATACATCGTAACTGTTTTTATTTATTTAAAGTAAGACATGAATCACTTAGCCATTGAGCAACGTTGTTTTGTTTTTAGAGCTTAGTGGAAACCTGTTCAGCGTTTTTGTAAATGATCATGTCGTCAGCATACATCCGGATGGAGATCATTAATATATGCTAAACAACAACGGTCCCAACACAGAGCCTTGTGGCACTCCCAGTGAGCATGGTTCGGTTGATGAAAGTTTATTATTTATATTAAAACATTGAGAACGACTAGATAAATATGACCTTACCCATTTCAGTGAGCTAACTGATAGCTTGAGTTTTGAAAGTTTTAATAAAGGTTTTGGATGACTTACTGTGTGATATGCTTTACGGAGATCAAGAAAAACTGCTCCAACTATCCCTCGTTTGTCTAATTTAGCCGTGATTCCTTCCAAGAAGAAACACCATGCAGTCTCAGTAGAACAATTGTTCCTGAATCCAAACTGAATAGGGAGGAGTAGGTTGTTGTTGCTAAGGTGTGACACCAGCTGTTTTGCAGCTACCTTTGAAACCACTTTAGACACAACAGGTAGAATGCTGATGGGTCTAAAGCTGATAACTTGTCACTATAGTTAAATACTGGGGTTACAGTTATAGTTTTAAAAGCCATGACTGACTGTATTTCCTGTCTGCTGTGTTTCTGCTTCACTCAGAGACAACATGGCTTCCAGATTAGAGGAAGATCTCTGCTGTCCGGTCTGTCAGGATGTCTTTAGAGATCCTGTTCTTCTGTCCTGTAGCCACAGCTTCTGCAAAGCCTGTCTGAAGAACTGGTTTAGAGAGAAACCAACACGAGAGTGTCCAGTCTGTAACGCAAGATCTTCAAGAGGAGAACCTCCCTGTAACCTGGTGCTAAAGAACCTGTGTGAGAGTTTCCTACAGGAGAGAGATCAGAGACCTCCAGAGGCTCTCTGCAGTCTGCACTCTGAGAAACTCAAACTCTTCTGTCTGGACCANCACACACACACACACACACACACACACACAAACACACACACACACAGACACACACACACACACACACACACACACACACACACACACACACACACACAGTCTCAGTTTCAGGGAGCACAAACAGTGGGCAGCATCATGTATGACACATGACATTGACGTGACTTACCTTTTGTCCTTTCATCTCTCCGGCCCCCTGAGCATCTATCTGACCCTGTGGGAGAAGGCCTTGGTTAATGACTGTGTAACATCACAGCGTTGTAAATGTCACTGCAGGGAAATATGTACAGGGTCTCCTTTCTCCCCTTTCCCCCCCGGGACTGCAGACTCAGCCCCCTCCACCTGTTTGTGCAGAGAGCAGAGCTTTGACAGTGACTGACGGTAAAGGCAGGGCAAAAAGACAGAAAAGCTCAGAGAGTGAAACCTAGGCAAAGGCAGACTTTATAAATGAGTAATCTGGAAAGAAATACAGTATTGTGTCATCTGTAACCCTGATAGGAGAAACGGAAACTATGACTTTATGATAGTATAGTGTTGACAGTGTGGCAGGACGATGATAAATACAGGCCCCTGTTGCATTGCAGCATGCTTCCACTTTAAAGTCATTCCCCTGTCTGCCAATAGATGGCACTTGATGACTGCTGGTGAGCTTCACTCAGAGTGTTTTTAATAGGATTTCTTCCTGTCAGTTATGTGGAGAGTGCTCTAAGTAAACATAACTGTAAAACAAATGTACCTGCACCTTGGCCAAGACACACAGTGAATGATTAATTAAAAAGATTTGTGATGGAACCTTTTTTCATACATACACGGAGGAGAACTACACAGCGGAAGATCCATCATACAGGATGCATATCCCAACATCTTTCTACCAGCCATATTTCCCTTCACAGCATATAATTCACCAAATGCATCTGGAGTAGCAGAAATGCATTATTTCACATCTCTGGACACGCCTGATTAAAGCTCATCTGTTGTGAAATGTGGGGGGGGGCTTTTTCTATCAGCAAACAGAAATATAGCTTGTTCATTAAAGAGGATTGTTCCTTTGTAGGACACGCGTGCAGATTTCGAGGGAACGCTTTAGATACGACGACATTAAGGAGCATCTGTTTAGCAATCTGAGAAGACAGAGAGACATCTGAGAAAGGTTGCAGCATATTTGCACACTCCTTAGCGGCACCCGGACTCTAACAAACAATAATTGCCTTCCAGTCTCAGCCCCTCCCCCATGCCTTCCACTTGCTAACGGCAGCCACTGTGATACCATTCATTTAATGAGATATAGTCACTGTTTCCTCGTCCAAATTATGAGCCGTTATTAAGTCAGTACAATGCTGCCATGTATGAACAGATGGATTGTCCTATTAATATTTTAGGCGGGGAAGACAGACTATAGGCTAAATTGACTTTGAGCACTAATTGAATTCCGTTCAGCTTTATCAACCACATGGGAACTCGTAGTTTTACCATCATAATCTTATCATAATCTTATCAATTAGATCATTGTTGGCGTGCTATCAGTCAGAGAACTTTTCCATAACAAGAGCCGCTCACAATGCGTGGAATAAGCTCCCCATTGACATCAGGACAGCAGAAAGCTTACACATCTTCCGGCGCAGACTGAAAACTCATCTCTTTCGACTCCACTTCGAGCAATAACATTTAAAAAAGATTTTTTTTTAAAAATAAAAATTCTATACTAACCAAGCACTTACGGTACATACTAACAAAGTACTTACATACTAACAAAGCACTTATATACTAACAAAGAACTGGCTTATCTAAAGCCAGTTGAGTAGCACTTTAAATGTTTTGGCTCTATGAAACCTGATTTACTTATATGATTATGTTTTTTTCAAGGTTGTATCTTCTTGGTCGAATGCACTTATTGTAAGTTGCTTTGGATAAAAGCGTCAGCTAAATGATGAATGTAATGTAATGCAGTATCTGTCTTACACTAACTGTAAAACACACGCTATACTGTGCAGAGAAAATGGTTTCCCACTGATTTATGACTCAATGTAAATCTCAATTATTCTTAGCCTGTGATGTGATTTGTTGTAAACATGTGTTCTGGCATAGGCTCACGGCAAACCATTTCTGTCGTTATCATTATTAGATCTCCAAGGAAGATCATTCAAAGTCAATTTATTAGCAGAGGGGCATGTGACAAGTTAATAAACCTTTCAAATGAGATTAACTGCAGCACGGCGAGTATTTATCCAGATTATCACTGTATTTACACAACGAGAAAGCCCAGCGTGCTTAGGACAGGGAACTGGTCCACCTGTGGGTAATATGTTGACTTTGAGGCACCTCGACTCATCTAACTGCAATTAGGCCTGTCTGCATCCCACCTCGTCTCTCCATCAATATCTGCAGTGTGCTGTCAGAGCCCGTTTGAGCCTGTCAGTGGGAGATACAGTTATGGAGATGTGATTCATGAGAGCGCAGTCTTCCAGGCACATCATGCACAGTGAGGATCTTTTGTTTTTCTCTTTAAAACATTCACACGCTGCTGAGTGACTGAGAGGGGTAACACAGTGTAACAAAGATGCTACACTGTTTTGTCCAAACTAAAAAATGCAAAAGAAGGAAGAATCCCTGAATTATTTATACTCCTGGAAACTCTTACTTTCCATTCCTCGCTGGATTGTTTAAGTTCCTTTAAATGCAAAGTTATGTATGTTTCGCACGAGCAGATTTCAATGTAAAGTCATACCCTGGGACTCTGAAAAGTTTTTTTGTCGTTAACCTTAAACATGAATGAAGGGAAGATGTAATGATATGACTGATTAATGGCAAGGGCAAGGCTGGCATGCACTATTTATGTAAGCAATCTTGTTGGTGTGTTTAAACATACAGTAACATCAGCATGAGACAACGCACACTTTTCTTTTGTAATCTAATCATAATGAAACCTTTAATCTAATCTTAATGGGGTGGTGGCTTTGGTCTCCTGCAGGCTTTGCCACCTGCATGTTTTACTAACTTCGTTCCGATATCGCTTTAAAGTTGCAGGTAACAGTGGGCTCACAGGTCTACTTTCTTAAAAATTGGTAAACTTTCCCCCACACTCTTGAACAATATTTGTTGCTATTACATGGAATTGCCTTTACGTGTTTCTTTTATTTACTGCCTTTGTCATTTTTTTAATAAAAGGCCTATGAAAGTGTAAAGTAAATTTGAAATATGCTGAACCCCCAATCTCAGAGCTCCTTTCTCCTCTGCCGAGTAAAGGTTTGGGTTTTATGGCTTCATTTTATGATATGAAACTGATTCAGGTGCGATAATAAACTGCAACTCGGCAGCTAATTACAGAAGGCTCATGAAAACTTAATCAAGGTAACCTCTGTTTGTCATTTTATTCTTAAGCTTGTCTTAATAGAGCATGGCAACACGGAGTCATTTTTCATCAAAATGAAACCACTATCCTCTATCCCCACCATCGCCTATGCTTAAGCTACTCCTATCCCATTTGTGTTGAGGTATAATAAATGTGTCCTCATAAAGACAACTTTCTTTCTCAAGGTTGGCCAGCTGACACTTCTCCTTCCTCTGGGCAGAGGGAGCAGGAGGAATTCTGTGTCCTGCGCTGACACACCGGCAAACAACGCACCTATACATCAAATGAACAGCTGCGGTCAGGAGGCTGTCCAGTACACAATAGCTTTCACTCTCTGCATGATCACAAGTGGGCCACTGGAGGCCTGGTGGGTGGATGTTAGTGGTTGCGGGGGGGGGCGAGTAGCAGCAAAGACAGTAGGAGGGCTGGTAGAGGTCCATGTCTTGGAGTTTTTTACATCGCATATCTCATGTGCCTCTGGTGAGCTACAGCACCCCTGAGATTCATGATAAAAAAAAAAAAAATGTGTTGCAAAAGCACTGTCTGTAATGGCCATCTGTCTGTTTGGAGTATGAGCACTGGGTCACGCTGTGCTGCGCTGCAGGAGGTGAGGGGTGGGAACAGCTATTCAAATTGCACAGTAGATATTGCTGTGATTGACTGAAAGGTGCTATTTCTGACAAGGGCGAACCCATCCTGACTGACACAGAAACCATCAGTCAAGGACAGGGGTCTGGTCACACAGACGTTCGACTTGTCTGGGCCGGTTTCCTGGGACAACTACTTACACACAGCCTGTCTTTATACCGACACAGAGCTCAGATGATTAAACTCCTAGCCTATTTAGGGGACCGCTACAATAAACACTGCTCAGTCATCTTGACAATTCACCCTGGCTGGAAGTGCAGGTGAGGCCCTGTTTATCAAACAGGGAGATGACTCACATCTTTTTTAAATGCCACATGTCAGCACTTTGTTTTAAGACAAACAATGTTGTGAGTGATACCTTGACACTTGCTCCTTCCGGGGTTCCTAGGGGAGCCTGCAATCAGAAGCAAATGAAACTCCTTTACGCACAAAGAATGGATAAAGAGAATGTAACTGATTAAATCAACACTTGTGAACAGTATTTATATACGTTTTTTTAATTGTTTTTTAGCCACCCTAAGCCTTTCATCACCTCTTCCTAAACTAAGGCTGCATTGAATGCCAATTTTTTTCTCTAATTGAGGTTTTCAAAGGATCTTTTGAATTTGTGTTGTGTTGTGTTTGAGATATGTCTTCATCTCTCTAAAAAAACATTGGAAAAATAGATTTTACTTTCATAGGCTTTTGACTCAAACAGCATAGTATTATTAAGAAATGTTGCCTTATCTTTATCTGCAAGTGTTTAGACAAACCGGGTTTAAACAAAATGAATATTAACATAGCAAAAATGTTTAATGATGAGGTAGCTTTAGACTTTGAATGTCAGCTTTATATATACAGAAGGGTTTAAACTAGCAGGTGTAGTAAAAAATATTCAGATTATAGGTGTACAGTATTATAGTTTCCAACCTTTGCACTAATATTATCTCTCATAAGTATGTGACCAGACCCCAGCAGTCTATAGATTATCTCTGAGCGCATCTTGCGTGCCTTTCACTGCCTCTCCTGTTGTCGTCAAATGCTAATTTGACTTAAAAATAACCAAGCACTGTCCTGCTGCCAATAGACAAGACCCAGTGATGCCCTGGTGTGTGTTTTGAATAGATGATTTCGCCCCTGAAATCCAACTCAGCAAAACAGGTGACTCATAAATGCCAATACCAGGGGATGGAAGCTAAGCCGGCACATGCTAAGGGTATCATCAGGACATTGCCATTTAGAAATGTCACACCTTCTCCATCCAGTCTTTCTTTTGTCCCATGACTCTGCGTCCTACAGTTTTGAGTTATTAAGGACCCAGGAGATTGAGTCATGCAGGAAAGGTCTAACACTGTATTATACTGAAGATAATTGAACCTTGAGAATAAAGGTGATAGAAAAAAGAACAAAATCTTTCTGGACTTCTGGGAAAAACAAAGCAAGATAAACCCTTTGTCCTGATCGAGAGTGTAATTAGGGCGATAGTGCAAGAAAATAATTGGACACACACCTACATGATACCTAAACACTCTGACTCCAGAGCAGCAAAGAGTCTGACAGGCTGTCTCCTTTAACACATTGTGAGGCTTGTGCCATGTGGGTTACTACACAAACACACCAAAAGTGTCTGGGACTAGTTTGGACACCTGAGGCACACCATAATTCAACAAGTCAATGGGGCTTTATTGACAGACTTGTCTTACTCATGAATACAAGAATTGGAGGAGCTAACCTGAATACACCCCTTGTGGTTTTATGCTAATAAAACAGCCCGCTTGCAGCAGGGTGGGAAGATTTTTATGAGATCGATACAGCCTTAGCATGGAATTAATGGCCAAAGTTTACTGACAAGTTTGACTATGAAGAGTGTAATTGCCTGTTTAAGCTGGATGTTGTAATGCATGTCTGTAATGATTGACTGCTTTAATATGCTTTTGCAATCCTGATAACTTGCAATTTGGGGAGCCTGTTTCTAGACAGGTATACATTGAAGTAGACATTGGTGATCTCAAATAAATACAGAGTCTAATAAAGTTAAATTGAAATGTTTTTTGAATGGTAGAAAAAGCTAGAAGAGGTGCTGACTGATTAAAGCTAAGTAGGTCATCACTTTTCAACTTCAATCACTGCATCTTTTTCCTTAAAGTAAGATTGAGAAATACAAAAAATACAGGTATGTTATATGTAGAAAGAACATGATTCTCCGTTTCCTAAATCAAAAAGTAAGTATGAATGTGTGTCTGTGTTACTGTATGACACCTACAGGCAGGCCTCTGACTCCAGGTTCCCCACTCTTTCCTCTCCGTCCCTATGGAAGACACAAGAGGGAAAAAAAAAAAAGATTAAAGATGCAACAACAGGTGTGGCTGGGCATACATGCTGCCAGCAATTAAGGCTAGACAGCAACTCCTGTCGCAGTCTCTAATTTGCTTTTAATTAACAACAAGTAAACAGCTTAATTGCTGCACCCCGTGTGGCCCACTACTCTTTGTTCCCTCCTCTGGTTTACTGCCTCCTTCCCAGCTGTGTGAGTCCCCCGGTGCATCAATCAAGCCAAGGAGCAGATACAAACAGGCCGAGCGAGCCAGCGCTGTCCAGCATTGCGAAACGAGGTCAGAAGGAATCAAAGCCTTTGAGCCATTTTTTGCTTGTTCCAAGGGCTCTTTTTGTGACATTTTGTGAATTGCGAAAAGGCTTCCGTGCCTGAAAGACTACGCGTCTTGAAAAGCTGACATCTTAATGAGATGTAATGCAATCCCGACCCAACCAAAGTTGGTATAATTTTACATCAAGAGGGTTTATGTCCTCGTGAGAAAGAGGATAAAGCTCTATGGATATCCTTACAGCTATCGCATAAACTGGCAGAGCATCACTGGCTCTGTGTTATGAAGAGCGCCTGGAATTAGCTGGCTTTCACACACACGAGACGGATGTAAAATCAACTCAACTAGGAGATGGTAATACTCTGGCCAGTATCAATTCACTGTACGGCGGCGTAATCATCGGCAGAAGCATGAGACAATGCACATATCTGTAATAGGGCTACACACGATTACCTCTTTTGAATAGGAGTTTCATCATCTGACACAATTGCTAGTCTGAAACATTTTATCTCTCTCCTACTGTATGTGTCAGTACGGGTGACACAAAAACACTTCTCTCCTCCGCTGAGTTAGTTGTGGTGCAGATCTGTGGAAGGAAAAGGATCACTGGCTGCCGGAACAAAAGTACACCCCCAAATCTTTCCCTCTGACACCCCGTGTATTCACACTTTGATTAACTGGGTCGAGTTTGATGTGTGCGTTTGCCTGCAAAAAGAAGACAAAGGGAAGAACTTCACTGTAGGCGAATTCTTTTAATCATCTGTTTGCATACACGCTCGTGCTCACATGCTGTGTTTCTCTATGTGTATTCCACAGATTACAGGATTAATGAAACAGGCCAAGGTGTAGCACGGTAAATATTAACCTTAATAATGACACAATGGAATTGGCCTGTACCTCCTTTTGGGAATTGCTCGTTTTCCAATGTGCATGCTTTTTGATGTACCAACAAAGGCTTGGCCAGCGCCTTTTGATCATCTGTGTTAATGTAGCTTTGAAGGTACATGTGCTTTAATGCCAGCATCAATGAGTGCCATGTTGGAAAAAAGCTGGAAGAGGTCGAATCAAGTTGATGCGTAGGAACAACATCTTTAAGCCTGAAAAATCCTCCTCTTCAAATGACTGACATTATGTTGCATTGCAATACCCTCTCAAAATCAAAATGTAATTGAGGTAGGTTACCTTTGTGGCAGAAAAAGTAAAGTCAGAGTGGCAGGCAAGGTATTTAATAAGAGCTTGTGCATCAATGTGACACATGTATACTGGAAACACATCGCTTTTGTATAAAAGGTCTATTTCTCGCAAACAAAGACAGTGTTTTGGTGAGGGTGGATGGTGTCGTTTTTTTTCTCTTCCGCTGCCCTTTCTCCCCTGAACTCCACAACAAAAGCAGATTACATAGATAAGTAATTTAGCTAATGAATATTTCATGTGCTATTATTCCAAGCAGGTCATGAATTATGCAGTTTTCCAAATTATTTCTCCACATTTGCCCTTAAACCTCATTTAACGCAAAAGTGCATTTAAATTTTATGTCCACATAATTTGCATATCATCATCAAAACAAACACTGGTACACAGACAGAAAAACTAAATGAAGGCCTCGTGTTACCAAATGTTGGCCTGAAGCTTATTTGCAGTTACCCATTAGTCACTAAATGGCTTTTAATACACTGTTCATCTGTTCTACAGTACAGTATTTCATGTTTTTATCTTATTTACTTAAAATGTATACATTTTTCTTGCACCATCAGTTCACCAATCTCAAACCCCGCTTGAGGGAAGATTTTCTTCTGGTTCAAAATCTGCAAATCTTTTGTACATTCTGCTAGAAAAAAGAAAAGCTTTATATCTTCAATTACTGCCTGCAAAACATATAAAACAGTCAAACTGGATTTATATTCAGTTGCCGGTTTACTGGCTATGCCTATCTATAGTTAAACTAATACATTGCATTACAACATCCCTGCAGTAGTTTCTCGGTGACTATAATGTTTATGTTTAGTTTAAACGGATGTAGAACAGTCATTCAACTTTATGGTCGTTCGGAGGCTGTATCTTGCATTCTACTGTTTTGTTGAGCGTTTTCTCACCAGCTATACTGACATGAATGGGGTGTTATCGGAAAAAAGCTATGGCTAGCTGAGTTTGCTAATTATAGATGCACTGGGTTGGGGGTGTCTATGTTGTGTCTAGATCAGAGATTTTCTAATTTAATAAGATATTCATTTAGTATTCATAAACAGCCACAGCTCAGACACTCATTTTTACTATAAAGCAATCCATTAAAGAGACTACAGCAGGTGACCTTGGGGTTGGACTGACACTTCTCTGTGAAGAGGACCTCAGGTTAGCTCCAAAACAAATCTGTGCCCGGTGACAAGAAATAATTAGTCCGGAGCACAGCTGTCATCACCGCTTGCACTCAGTTGACTCTCAAAACTGAAACACCTGCCAGTGACACAGCGAGATAACTGCGTCTGAAGGGACTTACTGAGCCTTTCAATACAGAGATAATCAAAAGAACAGCAACTGCCTTGGTGCCCATGAGCACCCAAATACTACAGCAAAAGATATAACAGTCTAGCTTTGAGCACTAGTGTGAAAATACATGCAGAGTATTACTAGAATTTAGAGTTTTCAGGTGAATGCTGTGTTCATCTTATTCTTTTGTCTAAATGTCATGTATTGACCTCCTAGACTTTGGAAACATTTTAACTAAAAAGATTCTCTGACATTTGGAATTGAGATCATTTAATAATCGTGTTCGGTCATGAAAGAGAGCTACTTTAAAGAGTTTGGTGTGAACACATTGCAGACAACAAGGAACGCTTAAGGGCACAGGTTGAAAGAACTACGTTTACAAGTAGCTGTTTATTCATCCATATAGGTGTAGAGAAAGGGTGTCCAAACTTGTTTCACTGAGGGCCACATACAGAAAGATATACGAGGGGCTTGACCACTCATGAGCAGTGAGGTTTAGTGCCTTATAAGTCAAGTTATAAGTTAGCAAAATCCATCAAATGTAGATAGATGATGCTTGATACTAGAATATATTTTGGAAATAAAAACAGCCTTCATCACAGCTTTCCATTGGGTTTCATTTATTTTGTTGGCAGCTAATTCCTTAAAACAGAAGCCTCAGATTGCTTATAATAAGGGAAAATATGAAAAGTATATTTCAAGATTGTTTCCCAAATAAGTTATAAGGCTTTATTTTTATCAACTAAGATTTGTTTGAAAATGTTTTTAACTTTAATTGACCAAATGTATTGGAAAATGGGCTTATCAACTTGTAAAAACTACAGGAATATATGTTTACATATATACTGGAAGTACAATATAAGACAAGTACAAATTCTCATGTGTGGGCCATATCCCATTATATTTTCTGAATTTACTGAGGGCCAATTCAAAATGGACCACGTAGTTTAGACACCCCTGGTGTAGAGAGTGAACAATATCCACAACTACTTGATTATGAAACTATCAGGTCCAATCATATAATCATAAATGTGCCATTTAACAGTTAAACTTGTTTAAAAGTTGACAGTTAATCATGGTTTAATGAAGGTAGGTTACAAAAAAAGTATTTTGTATTCAGCATTTCAGAAGTCATCATGTGACAAATATGTTCATCAAAACTGCTGACTTCACACATTTCTAGCAGGTTCTGGGAAGTCTGCAACTGTAAATAAAGCTTTGTTGTAGTTTGTCCGGTTGTTTTTGTTTTGTTTTAAATATCTTTCCTGGTGAAGGAGGTAGACACAACACCAGAAAAAAAAATGTTGCCAGAGGTAAACTGAGGTCCAAAGCAGTCTCTAGGCAACAGGGATGAACAGGAAACTGAAACCCATGCATTTTGGATTCCAAGAATAAAAATGAAAGAAAGAACGGAAAAGACAGGGAGAAAGAAAGACATGTTAAAGAAGCTAAAGGGTGAAATGTGTCAGGACAAAACTAAAATGTTTTTTTCTTGATCTATGAGAGGTTTGAAAATAGCCGCCTGTAGTTGGACTTGGATCAGTAGTGAGAAGACTATCCTGCTCTGCTCTAGGCGAGTCACTTTTAAACTTCACTCCACCTATGTATGCCAAAATGTCAGAGTAGAACATGTAAACATGGTCATAATTATAACACAGAGGAGCAGCCAGCAGTTTGTGAATGTTTTCTTTCAACTATAAGCCAACCTTAACTTTCTCATTTCCTCATTCTGTTTCTCGCTCCCTCATTCATCTCTCCCTTTGTGTACAATATCACAGCTCCATAACTCCCATCTCAGCCCTCTTCGCTGTCTCCTGTTTTTCTTATCATCTCCTCTTCCTTCTCCTGTCTCCTGTCACTCGCCCCGTTCCTCCCTCACCCAACTTCCAGCGCCTGTTGGATCACCCCGGCAATCTCTGTTGCTATGCAACGCTCAGTGTCCTATAAATTTGACAACATCCTAGTGCTTGATTATTATTTGAGTGCTGCAGTGTGAAGCCCTCCTTCAGGTCATTGCAGTAGATTAGAGGGAGGGAGAGATAGGAGAAGGCAAGGAAGGAAATGAGGGATGAGAGGGAGGAGGAGAGAGTGAAAGATGAACTGGCTTCCTGAGTGAAAGACCAAACACATATTCACAAGCACTATTTATCTGTTCCACTCTAAGAACCTGAAAACTATATAGCAGGAATGTGAAAAGCACTCTACATTAACAACTA